ATGTCCCCATCCTTTTTAACTTTATAACAAAGTGACCAATTTCATTAAATTTGTGTTACCATTCTCCAAACAGCAGAAAACACATGTGTTGCATGAAAGTTGTATAAATTAATCATGTAACTGCAGAACGTGATTTAACTTTGAAACAAGTTGCTATCCAGACAGAGAGAAAAATATCTCAAAAACATTACTGCAGATACACAGTAAACTCTCAACTGAACAAACCACAGTTAAAGAATTTTGGATTTAATGAACACCATCTGGTGTTGCCAAATGTTTTCTGGATGCAAGGCATTAGCATACATTTTCAGTTTTAACAGACAAAGTCCATTAAATCAAAAAATGTCTGTTAATGATCATTGGATTTAACACTGTAATGGTTTAATAAATCATGTGTCATTGAAGGTGTCCAGTTCCTGTTACTAATCTGTTCCTAATGGAAATTATGTCTAAGGATGCATTACTGGTACCTATTAGTCTATTAAATCAAGGGTTTACTACATCGGCATTCAGACACCTTGTTATACTTACAGATATAAAACATGTGTTCAACGCAGAAGATCATTGATACATTGCCATAAAAACCTCAAATGTGAAATGAGGTTCAAACATTTGCATGACATCCTAATTACCTGTCAGTTCTCTGTGCTCTTCAGCGACTCTGCTAGGGGCTTGAATCATGGGCACACTGCCTACCAGTCCATTGGTCACTCCCAGAAGCAAAGTGAATAACATGGGATATCCTTCCCCTGGAATCAGAGGACTACCTCGAGGAGTAGCACACAGCAGCAGCATAGGTATCAGTAATGTACGCAGCCATGCAAACACTATGAGCTGTGTCCGTGACCAGTCATATGGTACTGATGCTAAGACCTGTCAATGCCACCAAATCAAGACAACAGTGTTAACTCAAACAGGTAAATTTTCTTGATGAATACATTAAATTATTAAAATTCACCAACTACATGGTAAAAGATGTATCTTGTAAAACATATAGAATGCAATTAAATATGATTTGTTACATCATTTTATTTTTAATTTATATAAAATAACTCCGTTTATCCAGTCCACACATTCACATCCTATATACGTAAGATCAATCTTAATATCATCCTTCCGTTTTGCTTAACTCTCCAAAATGATCTCTTCCATTAACGTTTCCTGACCAAAATTGTACCTGCATTTCTCATTTACCACTATACATGCTATTGTACTGCCCATTTTATCCTCCTTGATCTTATTTCCCTAACTAAACCAAACAAAGAGTATAAATGATGATGATCCTCATTATGTAATTTTCTTCATCTTCTTGATACTACCATTTGAGTGGATCCAAATATTTGCCTCAGAAGTTTATTCTCAAACAACTCCAATTTATGTTTTTCTCTAAGGGAGAGACACAAAGTTTCACACCCACTTAAAATAATCAAAATATTCTAGTCACCACAATGAAAATTGTCAGATTAACATCTTCATCTCCTATTTTTATTAAGAAGTTACTGACAGTTATTGTATTGGAGATGGTGGACAACAAAATTAAGCTTAAAGGATAGCAATTCTCTATTTAAAAACCAAGCATCTCTCTTCAAAATATAGTGTATATCTACTTATACAATTTTATGCTAAGAACTATACATACCTTCCCCACAAGATCAGCAGCATTGAAGACAGCCATTAGAATTACAGGCATCCAGCTGCCAAATTTGCAGCTAATAATCTCACTCTCAATGCCTGGATACAGACAGAGGGTAACAAAGTAAGCCAGTCCAATAGAGAGCATGTATGGCCAGATGGTTTTTGCCACTTTCCATCGTGCCATGAAGCCTCCTGAAATGGCAGTATGAAGTATGATAAACTATTATACCTTCTAACTCTACAATAAAGGTCTTACTTGGAAGTAACAACTTTAATCAATCCAAATAACAATTCCTGCAGATAAAATATTTCTTACAATGTGCTTCTGTTATGAAACCCACCAAAAACATCCAAACAAATATATGAAGTTAAAGCAATTGATACTAATCAATAATGCAAAGTGAGCTTGCATAAATAAGGGACATAACCAATTTTCTTTTAATATCAGTAAAGGACAAAATTGCATGAGATTTCTTATTCTACATACTGCAGAAATCATTAGAGTTTCTAAATTATTAGGGAGTGATTTTTGTAAGAGCATAAAAACATACTACATAGGAAATAATTCCAAAATGCTGGAAATATTTTCCTGCATTATGAAGTTCATGACCAAAGTATGAATCCAAACATGCCAGCTTCAGTTTTCTGAATTGTATGTTTTTTCTTCTTCTTTCATTGTGAGTTATCAGTATTATCAGTATCCTCATAAAGTCTCATACAATGACCAATATCAGAAAATTCTATGTTGTAAATAACATAATTTAAGTTTCATGCTAAAAAGATGTTCCTTAGTTAAACTCGGTTTAAATTAACCTTTATCGACCATGTGCCATGGCTAATATGCAGTCCAGCTGGCTGTGCATCACACTAGCATATCTCTAAACCATTAACCCCACAGTTAAGATTCTGCCAGCAGTCACATAACACAGGAGTTTAAACCTCCTATTCCCATTTGATGAAGGTTAAAAGTCTTGATTGTGATATAAGAACAGATGAAAATATTGTTGGTAAACACAAAAGAAATCTAATCACAACTAATAAGTTTTAACTACTGGTAACTTACTTTTCAAACCCCCCCAAGCCTTTCCCTGGCTTGAACCATACACACTCCTCATGCGGATAACAACATCCTCTACTTTATAGGTTGGACCTTCAGCAGCTCCAGATCCTGGTGCGTTAGCAGCTGTGGGTTCATATACTGGATTGGAGAAACTGAATGGTGAGTAATGTCCAGTAACAGCAGCAGCTGCTGCCACTGCTGCATTATCAGAGCTACTAGTCCCAGAATCTGTTGCCAGAGGACTCTGCTGCAATTTGAGCACTCCATACTGAGTCTTCATCATACCATCAGCTTGGTCCAATTGATCCATCTACAGTTAAACACTTCATTATGCTATTATTTACAGCAGGACTTATAAATTAATAACTGTGTAAATTTATAGCCTTTATTTATGAAAAGTATTTATTATTACAAATTTCCAATACATGAAAGTTGTCACACAGAAGCAATAATTATGAGCTACTCAGATGAGCAGGTTATATAACTAGAACTTTATAGTAGTTTATGTATAATATGGAAGCATTAAGTGAAAGTAGACATGGGTTCTTCTTATAGCTTCTATGTGCCATACACTAGTGTATAGACTTTAGGTAGTTCCAAGAAAATGGGGGATTGGAGTTGAATAAAACACTTCCTTTTCTGGTCAACATTGATATTAATATACTGGGCAAAAACATAAATGCCATAAGTAAAAATAATTTACAAGTTCTATTAGATGAAGGTAATGTGGTTGTTTTAAAAGTAAATACAGAGAAAACTAAGTATATGTTCAAATCTTGTCGCCAGACTGCAGGAAAAATCATAATATAAGGGTAGCTAATGAATACCTCATATATTTGGGTATGATGGTAACAAATCAAAATTTTGGTCATGAAGAAATAGATAGCATATTAACTTCAGGGAATGTTTTCTACCAAGCAGTTCAAAATTGTTGTCTCCCCACCTGCTATTTAAAATCTGAACATTAAAATATATACAAAACTGTAAATTAACCTTTTGAAGATGGCTGTCTTCTTTGTCATTGCGCCATGTAGTCTGGTAGAAGTTTACTGACATTTACCGGAGTACATGACACAACAACCCAGATAACAGCCTTCTTCAGACTCACTGCCATGAAAACCTCAAATCCTACTAAATTACAGTTACAGTTAAAGCTATAAGGCAAATATTTTGACCTAAGAAAGATGTACAAAATTAATTAAATTTTACAATGGTAGACTGACTTGACTGTGAAATGCTGTATGATGGTATTAGAAACATACACAAAGTTCTCATGAAGAACCCTCTTTAAAATCTCAGATGGAGAAGAAATTATAACATTAAAACAGATCTTAATCAGTAGATTCTAATAATGTGAATTGGACTGAATCCAGTGACAGACTTTTATGTCAGAAGCATTAAACTGAGAGTCACCTGAGTGATCAGTTCAGTGGTTTGTTAGTTTTGTCCAGTTGAGTTTGCAAGTTATCTGGTGGGGCCATGGTCAGCACATTTGGGTTGATAATTATGGTGATGGGAAAAGGAGTTTTATGTATTTCACTCACAGATTTAAAAAAATTTAACAATCCCATGATAAGAAAATAAGAGGGAATATTCTTACCAAGCCAACATCTTCCATTGGTTCCAGCACAATCTTGCGTGATTCACGACACAGTGTGATGTAAAATTGAACAAAATCAGTCCTCTGTACAACTTGATGCAGACAGAAGCATAATGCCACTATTCCAATAGATGTTACAAAGAAGATGATTGTATTGATTTTGGGGTCATCGAGCAAAAGCTTTGTTAGGATACGGTTACCAGACACTAAGAAACCTGCAGCACCTGTAAGCACAAGCAAAACAGAAGAGCGTAATCTTTGTTAATGTGTGTGCCAATGAATGAAAAGCCTCCAGCCTCTAATGAATGGAAGAAATGTAGGTCATCCCCAGACATTGTTGCTCTCTGCATAAATATGGAAAATTAAGAGGTGGGTGGAAGAAGGATCAACAGAGCAGGAATAAGAAAGAAATTTCTTATTCACTGAATGATCTGCTCCTGATGGTCATACTAGAGAAAGTTCAAAAGGGTGTGGTGAAATAGCATTTCATAGAAATTAAACATTCAAAACACTTAAAGGGATGACATATCCTCATAATCATGTCAGTGATATTTATTCTACTGACAATTCTAACTGAAAAATAGTTATTGACCTGCAGAAAAATTAGATTATATACAAGATATTCTTACAAAGATATCACTGCATTAAAATTGTATGTAACATAAAATATAAACCTAACTGAAATTTACAATGTTATCTTTAGCAAATTACAAGGTGTGTATGTATACTTACTTTCACCAGCCATGACAGCTTGAGTATAGCGGCTTGGTAACATGCTGGTGTAACCATAGAAACTGGACTGCTGCACTGAAACAAATAATTGACACCAAATTGAGTATGACAGAACTGTTTGAAATTTTACATACAAAACTTTTAATTTATTTTCAGCTTGTAGTACAACACAGTTTTTCCTCCTTTTTAACATCCAGCATAGTCCTTTCAATGTTGAGTATGTTTTTATGATAATTTAAATTAAGACATCACAAAACTACATGCCTTTCTTCCTTTTTCCTTACTAAACTTTTATTACAGTTTTGAATGGTTTAATAGATACATATTTAGCTGCTCAAGAAGCTCCCTTCATCACCACAAAAGACTGCCTGCCACTTGTCCTATATTTAACCACTTTAATCAACATCATCTCTATAACCTTTATCCATAAAATCTATTTTAACATAATTCTCATATACAGACATCAGTAGTAGACTTCTAGTCAAATTTATTCATACATTTCTTCCTTAATTCTAGTAACCTGATAAAATGTACTTCAAAGGCAGAATTAAGATATTATTGCTTCACCATGATAAGTTACCATCCTCTCAATTTGTCTGGTGATAAGTTTGCTACTGTCTCTAGACACACCTTCTGTAGTTCACATTTCCTCCAAGATGGAAAGACCAATTCTTAGATGAGAGTTCACGGAATAGGCTCTATGTGCCTAAAATCTAACTGGCCCAAAGGAATAAGAAAAGGCAAGACTTATAGTGTTATGTTCCTGACCCATACACAGCTCTAATCTGATATTATTACATCTATTATTTTTTCTCATGCTTCAAATAAATTCTCACATACTTCTCATGTTCTGCACTTACAGTCTAATCTATAACCTACAGATTCTGTTCAATTTCTTACCAGTGCAGCCATAAGCCACAATAGCCACTGCAATGAGGTTGACAGTGTAAGATGTACTGGTTTCAAAGATATCCAGTCCTATTTCACATATTGCCACAAAAAGCAGTGTGAAGAAAGAAACGAGATAACCTGAAATGCATGAAAATAAATGTGAAATGCCTTTAACAAAAAGAGAAGTAGATGGATTCAACCCCTGCTGAAGTGTGATGTTTTATTAATGGAGGGAAATTTAATAAGACATGTTGAGATGTAAGTAGAATATGACATAATGACCTATAATGGAAGCATTTACATTACTGGTTTACGTTTGAGAAAGACAGTTACTTTTAGTTTGTAGGTTTCATACACTATGGCATATGAAACACAAATTATATCAAACTTTAATCTATAAAGTTATATGTGTAAAATAATAGAAAGATTTTCTACACATCTAAACCTGTTAAGCCATAAAGGTTCTGTTAATCCTTTGTTAATAATGTACAAAGGTATAAACTGGCTAGGAAAACTTTTATATGATGAGAGAAGTACAAATGGTATAGTGCAACAAAATCCAGAGTACAGTGTAATTGAATTAATGCAAAAAAATTTAAGATATGGACATCCTACCAAAAGTGATGCGAGTATTCAAGGACAATGTCTCCACTAGAACATTGTTGGCAAGTACAGCAAAGAATGCCATCACTATGTAAACAAGTGACATGTCAAATACAATAGTAGTTCCAGGATACTTTCCTTGGAAGTAGTCTACAGCAATGATGAAACTAGGAGAGAAATAGAAGTTAAAGATGTGTTAGTGAGGAAAATGTAATCTTAATTTTAATCTTATTACTACTTTATTATTTGTCCAGCAACACAAATTTACTTGTAAATTTAGTGAAGAGATTACCTGTTATATGGAAGAAGAAACCCAACACCTGCTAAAACTAATGCAAAATAGATGCAATTGCATTTATCAACTGGAGGTGAAAGATGACTAAAACCGTTTGTGAACCGAAAACCATTTGCAGCACGGGCTTTGCCCAGTTGGATGTAACCTCTGCTGAGATTTTCATCCATTATCAAGGACTGGAAAAATTCAGAATGAACAACTCTTCAGGAAATAAAACTTAATATGTATATCAAGCAATTTACATTTGTAATTTGTTTTCTTTGGCAGTATTGAACCTCTGTTTACTTCGCTCTAATTTAACTGACGGTACAAGTCCAATTAAACACAGAAGACAGCAGGATGTATTGTTGCTTAAAAGAACTACCTGCCAAACAGTTAATTGTATATTTAACAAATTGTGGAACGACACATCTTCCGTTGAACTTTTCACTATATAAAACCTAGCACAGATGTGTTTACAACAGTTTGGACTATGAAAAGGAGATGAAACAGGATAACAGAAATAAAATGACTTGTTCCATACGCATGTCATTGAAATTTTCGCATTGATTTCTGCTCAAAAATTCCTTGCGCAGACTGGACGTGTGCTCATTACGTCACTCTATACGTCATCATCATGTGACACGAAACATATGAAAGTAAATCGAAGCCGAAGCACGACAATAGAAGCTCATAGTTGCGTGGTTGGAGTTGGTGATTGTAGTTCTATTTAATACTTTGGGCATTAAATATTAAAAAATGTCGTTAAATACAGCACATGCAAATGGAGGAGTTTTAATACACGCAGGAGAATGGTTAGTGATAAATCTTGTGTTAATGTTTTTATTTGTAAGAAGCTTTGATGTGCTTCGAATTTTCCAGAGCTGTCATTACATATATCCTATAATACAACTTCGCCGTAATTGTATGAACTGCAGTAAACGTATGCAGTATAAAAGTTGTTTTCGTACGTCATATTTAAGTTGTGGCCAATTTTGTATTTAAACTTCTTCATTCGTGCATTGCTATTGCACCACATCGAAAGTAGTTTACATTCGTGAGGTTAACCAACATACAATGTGAAACCGTACAATTGTCAATTTTACAAGAAAACAGCTATAAGTTGTAAGAGGACAGTTGTGGGCATGTAATGCTACCATTCCAGCAATTTTACTTTTGAATTGTATTAAATACGTTGTTTGTATTATGACATGTTGAAAGCAGATGTAAGATTTCATATAAACACACACTATTAACACAAATTATCATTTAATGCATTAGGATTGTAATTATTATTAATACTTTTATTTCAGCATCCTGCTCTTTTGTGATCATATAACGATAGAATTTCATGGACAAGATCAACCAGAATTCAAGGGCTCGAAACATGGACGACTCTACTTAACCACTCATCGCATGATTTTCAATGCCAAGGAATCACGTGACAAAATGCAGTCTTTCAGTTTCCCATTTGTTACTCTTAGAGATGTAAGTTCTGACATTGTCCTGGCATTGTGTTGAAAGACTTCTGTTTTGGAATTGTAATCTTGCTTCAGTAATTTGTGTATAAGACTACAGAAAGAAAGGGACATACTGTGCATTGTTAAAAAAATTTCTGTTTCTGGTGATCTTAAAACTTTGCATACCTTTTAGTGTATTAGAATATAAAATAAATAAACAAACAACTATTAACACTAGTGTCTTTTTATATTGTTAATAGTTGTTTGTTTACTTATTTTATGTTTCTGGGGATACTACATTGTAATGATCTGCTTCTAATACACATTATAAATTGTCTCCTAATACAAATTATTTTATAATGATACTAACTTTATAAAAATGTCTTCATAATGTTTGAACATTAATACTATGAAATGAGTTTATGAGAGTCGAGTAGTAAATGCTGCGTTGTAGTTTCCAGTCATGAAATCAAAAACTAATCATGTGTTGTGTATAATTATGTATTCTATTTTAAGTACAAATAACATAAACAGAAGTTACATATTTTTCAAGATTATTATCATGTTCAATTTTTAGGTCCTAGCACTGGAAAACACTGATGTTGCTATCTCATTAAAACATGACCTCTGTGCTGGTAACATAGAAAATACAGATTTAAAAATGTAGTTTAAAGGTAAACTCTTATGAGGTCATCTTCATAAAAAGTTTTATGAAGACTAGCCATTTACATGGCATGGTGCTTAATTAAGCATCAAGGACAATGTTACTTTTATAAGTTGAATTTTATTAGTTGTTGCAATAACAGGAATACACAAAGCAAAGGGAGGTAGTTTTCTCACTAATACACTGAAGTAAAATTGGATCTTATTGACGTTGGCTGTGATGATACACCATTTAGTCTGTCATAAGTTCACGGACATTTCTGAAACATTTCTGGTAAACTTCTACCAAACTACAAGATGCAACATCTCAGAAGAGAATGCCATGAGAACCTGAAATCTCACCATGAACCTAATGTACCTAAATGTATAGTAAAATCTGTAATTTTAGGTTGAGTTACAGCAGCCAGTGTTTGGAGTAAACTATATAAAAGGCAAGGTCCGAGCCCAACCAAATGGAAACTGGATTGGGGAAGCAAAGTTTAAGATCATGTTCAAAAATGGAGGCGCAATTGACTTTGGCCAAGCAATGCTGAAGGCAGCTCACATGGGTAAGTAGAACCTTTAAATTATATTTAATTAATGTTATTTGTTATGCCAGTTTATTGAAGGTTAATTTATGTTTAGCTACTCGATATTTGTTTTAACTGTCACTTTATACACCACTTTCTGAGTGTTTATTGAACTGAAAGTTTTGATGCATTTTGTTTATTTCAAATCCATATTACCTTGTGATTTATACCATCAGTATTGCAATACTGGAATTGCAGAAATCCAGCAAAGAATATTTTGATAAAAAACAAATTATTGAACATTGTTGAAAATAATTGAAAGAGAGGTCAGGAAAATACCTGAGTTGAGAAATTATACAGAGATATAGGTACAAACATTTCAGAAAATTCATAAAACACCTAAATGTAAATACCTAAATTAATATTGTGGGATCTGAAAGACCACCCCATATAAAGTAATTTGGATTTTTTTCACCTCTCACTAACATCTGGCCTCTTAACCTTTTTCCACCTTTGAATGAATCATCTACTTATGCGTCATTGACTTTCAGTAAAATCTTAGTGACTCTCTGACTCACAGTATGGGATAAATATACCAACTGGGCACTGTGGAAAAGATTGCAGTTTTGTTTTTTCAAGATAGGGTGGGTATGTGATAACATGAAATGATAATATGAAATAAGTCTTCAACAGATTTTATTGTTATTGTTTGTTATTGTCTTCTTCATTGCCACTTAGAATAACCACCAAGTGCCGATATATGTACAAAACTATGTGCTAATGTGTATTGTGGTCATCTGGGTGGTGATGCTATATAGTCTATTAGGCCCCTGTTCTGAATCAGGTGACTCCAGCCCACACACTCATATCATCTAAGATTGATTTCAGTATTATTTCTCATCTTCAGAATTGATAACTAAAATGTTATATCCTTTTCTCACAGTGCCCCCTCCTCCATATTGCTACACTGTGCAACTTTTAGGTTCATGTTAGGAATATATTATGAGACAGAACCTCTAGTAAGTGTTCTTCATATTCTTATTTCATCAAATTACTGACTAAAGAGGCCTACTTTCATCATAAAGATTAAGAAGGAGAAATACAGTTATGCGACTTCCCTTGGCCTTTACTTCATTTTATTAACACACTTATGTATTACAAAGTTTTGTCTGTATGGTGTGATGATTATGTTTGAGTAAGGTGTAATGGTATTGTACATTGTGTATGAAAACCTGACTAGAAAAAATGATGCCAGGTCATTGAGATCAAGAAGAAGAAAAGGAGTAACTTTCACTTTCTCTCTTTGATGTTTGCTGAAGTAAGGTGTTGACTGCCATAGGCTTTGACTATTGAATTAGGCAGGGAGAAAGTACCATCCAGTCTGCAGAACTCATCTTGCCCATAACATGCCACAAAGTGCTGTGTTACAGTTGGTAGTTGTTTTTGCTTGAATCTTATGGAAAGTAAGTATTTTTGTTAAGTGCACAGGATTATAAAATACATGAGACTCATTATATTTGAAAAAAAATGTGTTGCATTTTCAGCTGTACCTTCAAACTTTTAAGTGATATTTTTATTAGTCTGTTAGTATGTGATTATTTGTAAGTGTCTTATTTACAGGTCAACTTAAAGTAGTTGTGAGGTGGAATATATTGTGTTCATGATTGACACTGTTTGTGTCCAAATCATGTGATGGCCACAATTTGTTAAAGGCTTTGTAATGTATGAGTAAAAATAACATGACCCAAAATAATCACATAGTCTTATGCATAACAAGTAGAGTCCCTCTAAAGATTCAGTTGAAAGTGCTCTTTGTTATGGTGTGTGTGACTCTGTAGACCTTAAGATTAAATATGCTAAGTTTCATTGGCGTATGGTAATAACATGTGTTGTATTATTTTAGAAAAATGTTATATAAAATAATTTATCATATATATAACCAGAATTTTCTTTCAGATATATGCATCCTTTAATATCTGTATATTGATAATTAAAACTTAACTGGCTTTTTGCATAATTTATTCTAGAAAATATTTCCAGTATCCGAATGTAATTCATAATTTCAGTCTCTTAAGTAAAATTATTTTAACTTGTGTATTCAGTTGAGATTCTTTTTTTTTTAAGTTTTCTTGTTTATATTGTCAATTCACATAATATTTTTAGGACTGTGAAATCTGCTGCAGTCTTTTGCTTGCAAGTTATTACAGTAATTAAAGTGAGGATGTTAAGTTAAGGTGGGACATTTAACATAGATGGGAGAAATGGTAAATGCCTGTAAACTTTTGACGTAAATACGTCTATATGGAAGGGTCATTCGGAAAAAAAGCATAATGAAGATGTGTGGCTGATTTTGAGTTTTATAATTGTATATATGTACATGAAAATTGACAATGCCAGAAATTAAAATTTCATAACATTTGAGGTTATGTTTAGAATGTTTTGAGGATTGGAGGTATGCACTAGATGAAATTGTGATACAGTCACTTATACATTTTTGCTAGTTTCTATATTTAGATGTAGACAGTTGAAGGGAAGCTATCTCATTAGTACTTCTCATACCTTGTTGTTTCTCTTTCAAGAGAAGGTTTTAACATATATTCAGACATGTTTCTTGATGTACATGTGTGATCTGTATATACGTACAAACAAGCAATAATAAGAATCCATACAGTGTAGGAAACAGTACTGAAAGAAACACTAAACTTCATCTCCAATTGGTGACACCGCTGTGTCATATTCAGGAGACCCTAGGCTCAGGTCTCACTGTGGAGACTGGTTGTACTGACTGACTGTTTTTGTGGTTATCCTTAGTTCTAGACATATATCAGGAGAAAACCTAAAATTAAGCTGTGACCACTTCCTTCCACATCGTTTTCAATTAATTATTTATTAATCATCCTATCATTCAACGTGTTATAGTCTGAGATACTGGCAGTGCTGTTAAATAAACCATAAAGAAAGAAAGAAATAAATAAAACTGAAAGAAGCTCTTGTAATTTCTAATTAAATTTATTTTTCCTAGCATCAAGAGGAGGGTCACCAAGTGATGCTCCACCACCATATGCACCTCCTATGGGACCATGGTATGCAGCCCCTCCTCCAGCATATGCTCCGTCTCCAGCTGGGTACTATGGATGGGTTCCCCCCACGCATGCATTCCCTGATGCACCACCTGGTAAGTGTGGCTCTTAAGGTACTGTAAAATCAACAAATTTAAGAAAGATGGCTTTATCCAAGATTCAATTTTAGTATAATTTAAAATGTAAATTTTGAAACTAAAATTCACAAATGAACATGTTGTTTATTTTAACTTTGATATTTCTTAATTTTATGAGGAAAATATTGTTTGATTTAATCTTGTGGGCTGTTTCCTTTCCCTGTAGAAGTATGCTCATAAGACTTGCAGGGGGTGCCTCAGCTATAAGGATTTATATTAATTTAATTAACCTGAGGACGGGGCAGATGGGTCTTTGATCTCAAAGAACATGCATTGGACAGAAATGGATAGCAATAAGATTTTGAAGGCAGATGAGAAATATATGCAGAGTATGAGGATGTGATTTATATTGTATTAATTCATCTGGGTGTTGTAGTCCTTGAAGCACCCAAGGAGGACCAACATCTCCATTAGCACAAACGTGCATACCACAGTGTAAGCACTGTCACTGGTATTCTAGGCTGCAATGAAAATCTTTATTTGAATGCACACTCTGATTTTATTAGTTGTGCTACATAAAATGTGGCCCTGTTTACTGTACTTCCCAAAATTCTTTATTGAAAAATACATATTTTCAAAATATCTAAATTGGACATGGCAGCCATGAAAAAATATACATTTGCTTTTTGATTTAATAACTACATAGTTGTTTGAGTGATGTAACTGAAGTTTGTTACAATGAAAAATTATTAAATCTACAGAATTTTTGTGAAATGTCTTTATATTTTTAAGAATGCCAATGCCATGCATGTGATATTTTATAAAGGCTCCTGCAATGTGAAGTGTGAGGCCTGTCATAAGCTGCATTTTATATACTAGCAGAGGTTATTTTTCTTGTCACATTATATTATTCGATTTGAATTTGAGACACTTTATTTAATAAGTAATGCAGTTGCATAGTATGGATATTAAATAACAACAGTTACTGAAAGAATCTTATGACACTCACTTTGAATCTCTTATTTATTCTTGGTTGTTACAGCAAATTCAGTATATATGACAGATATGCCACCTCCATACCCTGGTATCAATGCCTATAATGGATATGTAACTGCATCTGCACCACCACCACCTGGAGCTGTAGGTTTTACCCAGTCACCAGCAGGAGCACCATCTTCAGCTGGTAAGTCCACCAAATCTGTAACATTGGATTCTATAACATGAACTGATTGACTGGATTGGGACAAGTTGTTTTTCTTACAACAAGAACTTTCTTTTGTCAGTTTTCTCATCAGGCCAGATGGTTAATTTAATTGGCTGTTCTTCAGTTAAGGTGCTCACTATTTTAATTTTAGTAGATGCTGTAGTCCAAGCTTATATACAACTTCATGATCTGTTATCATTAGGAATTTTCATAATACTGTAATGTGCAAAATGTTAGTAACCAGAAAACAATATTTTTTACCTTATTTTATCCTTTCTGTAAACTGATTTTTACTCCAGAGGCAGGGGAAGTTGACTACTGTTTGTTATAGCAGTAGAATTTCTGTTATAAGGAAGTATTTAAATATGCAGATTCACACTTTATATCTACAGGCAATAGTTGATTACTGAACATTGTCATGTCATTGTGGAAGATCTACTTAGCATCTGAAATACTGAAATAATATTGATAAAGGCATGGAAATAGATGTTAAAAGTTAAGTGAAGTGGTCTCTTTGGTTTATCAAGCGCACACAATTGGAGGTGAATGGTTAGCTTCACACGCTGGATAATTTACCTCAGGTAAAGACCTACACCAGTGCCTGTTCAGTTGTATTGTCCCTAACCCATTTTTCTTAATGAAATTCCATTTCACAATTCAGTTAGTAGTGTTCTTAGTTAATATAAGCTTATTTACCAGGTCCAGGATTATTTAAAATCTCTGAACTTCCAGTCCAGGTTCTTGTATGTTCACATTTGTATTTTACTGATTAAATCATGTTTCCAGACCTATTACTCTTGTCTCATACCCTGTTTATTTGGCCATGTGCACCTTTGTTGAACAGAGTTGGGGTTTTAAAGTAATTGAGTAGGCATATTGTAGTCAATACAAAGACATTAGTTATGTGCAACCAGTAACATAGATATACATATTTCAGATGCAAAAGCAGCTGAAGCAGCTCAAAGTGCATACTATGATCCAAATCAACCACAGTGTGCATATGTTCCACCACCAGCATATTATGTATGTACAGCATACAAAACCAGTTAGATTTTGTAATTTAATATTTAGTAGTTGTGTATGTTTTTAACTAGTACAGGATAAGTAACTTTGGCTTTGGAAAGTCACTTAAGAGTATAAATATTTAAATTAGTTATGTCTTATAGTTATTCATATAATTAAGTAATAAATTCAGTTTCATCAACAATGGAAACATATATTATTTAATATATATAATTTTTATTTTTCTTTAGCATTTTACTATAAAAATAATAATGTAATATTGTTCTTTCCCTTTTAGGAGTCCCCACCAACATACCAGGCAGCAACAACCAAGAAAGGCCAGTAAATTCACTTACCTAGCCTTCCCCTGTTATCATTTCCTCTTAGATAGCTTGAATGGTTCTTTGAGTTTACTTTCAGCATGGTAAATAAATCAAAAACATTTTATTTTAAGTTCTTTCACTGCTAAGTTTTATTTGATTCTTTATAGAGAGTTAAGATCTCATTGCTAAAACTATGTGTCATCAGCTATAAAAATTAATAAATTAAATGAAACCAAATTAATGTTAGGGTACATTTAAACACATTTGTGATGTACTGAAGCATTTCATATATTGATACTTATTGAATATATGCAAGTTTTAAAATATCTTGCTACATTAATTCGTTGAAGATGTTTATTACTCTGAAACATAATTTTTTTCTGGTGATAATAAAGTGTCTTGAAATGTCATGCTAACACCTAAAGATGAGAGGAGGAATTACAAATATAAATATACAGTGTGTCCACAAAGTCCCGTCAAGGTTTTGAAAAATTGTGGCACGCAAACAAATTGAGCTAGCCACATGTGGTTTGCGGCAGATTACAGTGACATGCTCCACAGAACATGGAAAGAGCTCAAATATCGTCTGGACGTTCTCCATGCTACCAAGGGAGCCCACATCGAGGTCTACTGAGGTCAGTAAAAAACTTCCAGAGTTTCACTGTAATCTGCCGCAAACTGCATGTGGCTAGCTCAATTTGTTTGCACGCCACAATTTTTCAAAACCCGGAAGGGACTTTGTGGACATACTGTATTACTTAGAACATATTATAATAATCCACATTTGTTATATAAAGGAAAAAATGCAAGTTTTGAAAGTATGGGTATAAAATGGAATGTTATTAGTAATGATTCCATGTTTCACAGTTGATCTTGGAGAAAGATTTGTAATTTTGCTTCTAATTATCGAGCATGGAAGTTAAAATTATTAAACCAGTGTTGTGTGTTTTATTTCTTCATGCTTTATTTATGAAACCTGCTAAATTACATTCTCATCAGACTATAATATATTCATGATATGCTGAATATAATGTAGTATATGTGTGGAAATGTGTTATTGGTACAGGGAGATGTTATGTAAAATAAGATGCAATATAATTATTTTGTATGGTGAATACTGTTATTCTGCTTCTAAGCTAGAAATGTGCACTTGGTATCAGTGTTGTAGAGCTGAAGTTGTAATACTTTTATCACAGCAAAATTAGCACTGTCCATGTTATTGCTCTTTTATTGTATATTAAATGTTTAAATATATGCAAGTATCTTAACATCATGTCCTGATATTCTTTGTGTCGCAGGTGAAATGGAAACTGGTGTTTTTTATGTATAATGTAAATTTCTTGATTACAAGTTTAGCACAAAAATAATAATGTATTTTCATTTTACACTGTATTAGTATATACAGTATAATTTTGAAGTTGTAAACAACAATTTAAATTTCTCTTAATTAATATTTGCAAGGGAAATGCCCTTCTATGAAGCTAGTTTTGCAATAAATCATTATGGTGTATGAAGTAATTATTGTGAAGGAAAATTTTTATGTTTAATTAGGCATTAAGACCTGGCATGGAGGTAATGCTCCGTGCATTCTTAAACTCAACAAAAGATGAGAATGAGTGCTCAGCTTCAAACACTGGCTGATTTGTATGTAAGATACTACAGAGTTTATGAAACCATTATTATTATTATTATTATTAAAATTGAGTCTGCCTTACATTTGTGTATTCCCTGGGTGAAATTCTAAGACTAGCAGTTCTGTCTTACTGTTTTGTCAATAAACATGTTAAGTTTCAAAAGAGATTTAAGCCAGAAGTATTCATATAAAATGGTCTCTAAAAGTCCCTTTCTTCAAATATTTAAATGGTCTATAAAAGCACGCCTGTTTGACCCTAAGGAAACAGTTGTTGATTGTGGTCTTTCAGGTTGTGATGGCATATATTCTGTAGGTCATTACCAATGACTACACAGTGTCATAAGCCAGAAGACCACCATGAGGATGGCAAACCTGAGGTACTAACAATTAGTATTTCAGTGATACACTGTTTGAGGTATGCAAATGAACATATTAAGAATCATGATATCCTTTCAGTCAGTGTTGAGTGCTGTCACTATTTGCCAGGTAGGCTGCCAGTACTTTTTTGCCAATGAATCTCATGAATTTGCATTTAGTCTACTGGAATGTGATCTGACGACTATAACCTTGCTACTCCTCAATATCAATTTGGAGTTCAAATGAGTTGACATTAGTGTTACATTTTTTAACCGAAGTTGCAAATTGCTGTTACAAGTAGAGCCATTGGCCACTAAATTGAATATGTTACTGCAGAGTATGTGCATACATGGTGTACTCACTTTCCACGTGTGATGCAGGTGTGGAATTGAATCTGGATGATGGTAGGAGTATGCCTTTCACAATGAGTTGAATGGTTTACCTCATAATATATCTCAGATTTCATATACTGTATAGTTTAGAAAATTAACAAAATTAAACTTCTTTACTAACATTCACAGCCACACTTTAACAAAAATGTTAAAATCTTCATGTTTCTATTTGCACAAATTTTTAAGCAAAAAGAAAAACCTTCATATCAGCCCAGAATTTTGTTAGTATGTTCAAGCCAGGAACTAAAAACATTATTGAAGACCCTTCTACATCTGTGTTAAATCAGTGAAGACTGGCTGTGGCTGTAATTGATTCCAGGAGGGCTCTGTTGCCCAATCAGCTTATACCCTACTACTCTAGATGTCGTGGGCTGTTTATCCAAGACTAATTAAGATATGTTTTCCCAGTGTAACAGTTCTGCCACAATTACCAGAAATAGACCTTAGGTGTTGTGAATGCACTGGGTATCCCCCTCTGTCTTTCCAACACCCTTACCTCCTGCCAGTGTTCCTTGAAACTGAAAGCTGTCTAGACCTTTGATTATAAAACGTGAGTGTAAATTTGGGATAGGGAATTCTATGGCTCTTTGTTTTCATGAAGTTATAAACACACTTTAAATTATATTTTATTTCGTCTGCTTAACAGGCATAACTAAACAATAAACACAAGTAATAAGCTTCATCATTGTACAGATAATATGCAGTAGTTTTCACATCTTACAGCAGAAAATCTCAGCCCAGAAATGGTATACAGTGCAAAATATCATGATCCTGACAACTAACCTCCCTCTGCCAAATTCTTGAGTGAAGTTTTACTGCAGCTCATGGTAGATACACAGACAAGTTTCACCATTACCTTTTTTACAACAACAACAAATTCATTTGAAAACCAAGTAGGCAATTCAAATTTGACCCTGAATCATAAGTTTTGCTATTGGTTGTGCATCTGTCCTGAAAATGTACATGCTGCAAGGCTGGTAGAAATGTGTACATGTAGGTAAAGGGTACCTCAAGATTTCCCAACTTCAAACAGGTAAGATGGTTTAATGATACATCTCAATAAAAATTCTGAATCAAATTTTAACTGCACTTGTATTAATGTCATACTCAAAATAATCACTCATTATCAGTGTTTGTCTTCTGGGTTGCAACATTATGTGAACCTGTGGACAGATACTAGCATTTTGGAGAAAGATACTGTCTCCATCTTCAGAGATGAAGATGGGGGGCAGTATGTTCCTTCAAAATAGCAGAATCTACCTACAAATCCACATGGTGTTACAACACTGAAGACCAATTCTAACATCTTCACTGGGAAACCTCAAATCTCATGGAGCCACACATTGGTTTAACTTTGTGTTGCTGAAAAGTTATATAATGGAATTTGATACATGAATGCTATCAGTGTACGCACATACTTGTATGAAACAGTGAAACCTGTTCAAAAAGGCAGTACACCAGATTCCTTTGGCTCTAATTTTGAATAACAAGCAGAACACTATCTAAAGCTGAAAACTGAAGTGGCTCCCTGGAAATTATGTTTAAGGCAGAATTTACTGCAGATACAGCTGGGCAACCTAAAACAATATGAAATTACAAGGGCTACAAATACTTAACATATTTTTTTTAAGTCTCTATATCCCCTGACACCTTAGAAATATAAGCCAACATAAATACAATTAGCTTAAGTTTACTGAAGCTGTCTTCATGGTTTTGTAGTTTTCTTTGCTTTACCTTTTAACAAGAAGTGTATGACTTGGAAACTTAGGTTAACTTATTAGGATTGTGGATAAGAGGGGGAAACAGCTTCCAATACCAAACTCTTCTTAAGCTACCTGCAACTAGGTTACATTTTGTTAATCGCTAGGAGCAGGAAGCCTTTTGCCTCCATATTCTCACAGATAAAATTAATTTCATAGAAAAAACTACACACTATCCAACTATTGCATATCTAAATATGGTTGTCTTCTGGCTTGTAGCACTATGTTGTCTGGAGGAAGTTTATCAGTTTCAGAGGTACTTGCTGCCTCAATCATCAGGGTTATTACCTCTAAAACACTGATAAACTTCTACCAGACTACATGGTACTACAACCCACAAGACCTTTATCTTCATACCACTGTGAGAACCTCAGACCCTACTTATTTTCCACATTTCCTGTTAATTTAATATTGCTGTTACACTTCCACGTTGTGTGGTCCCTCATCACCATATACACAGGCTACACTTCCAGTTACATTCAAAAAACTGTTCTGAATTTACTATCCTTTGACCTAAACTTTAATTTTTGCATGAAATATATACACTTAAAGAGACATGTTTGGTTTATGTTTACAATATGGTGACTAACTGTGTTGTGTCAATCAAAATTATTTTCGAAATAAATACCTTAAAATCGACATTCAGTAACAGAATAGTTGATAGGCTTAGAATTGTGTAATGTCTATTGATTACTAATAACCCTAAAATTCAGCTTAAAATACACAAGGTACTGTTGCAGTTTTTCCACTTTATAGTGACGAATATATTAACCATAGCCTTCACTGCTGACCAGTTTGGTAAGATGGTTCATGGTTGACCCTCTAAGAATGCCCTACAACTGCGAATACACTGCTGATAGCACTTCTCGAATCCAGCATCATTGTCATCATAATAGGGATCTCGAATTATACGCTCTCCTTGAGGATCAAACGACCCTAGTAAAATTAACTGGGCCTTCGAGCCAGGCGGTTTTTCTTTATTCAGACTTCGCATATTGCTTTCATCCATTCCAAATATGAAGTCAAATTTGTTAAAGTCGTCTTTCGTAATCTGACGTACTCTGTGGGAATAATCAATACCATTATTTTGCAATATTTTGCTAGCACGTCTGTCAGGTCTTCCGCCAACGTGCCACGATCCAAGAGCTGCACTGTCCACTTCCCACTCATTCAATTTTCCCATTTCTTCAATAGTGTGCAAAAACACTGCTTCTGCTATTGGAGATCGGCAAATGTTACCCAAACAAATGAATAATGCCGCTTTTTTGGACTTCGACATATTACTTTTTGATAAATTACAGTGTTCCCAAAGTTAATATGTGTGAAATAGCTACAAACTCGTGCAGAATTATGACTGATGGTGTGACATTAACACAACCACTATTTTTCAAAAACACTTTACATTTCAACATACAGCTCACAGCGGTTCACAGCCTGTTACTCAGTTGGTCATACTGTCCGTTTGTTTTCAGAGACTTTCTATTTGTTACAGTATTTGCAGTATATTTAGTTTTGGTTTCCGTTGTAATATTTAAATATAATCCCTACCTAGTGTGATTAACAATTATATTTACGATTTTTAAGAGTATTATTTAATTTTGTTTAAGCTCAGCATGTTTTTGAGGGACTTTTATTCAAACCCGCGGTAATTTCTGTGCGTGTTGATTGAAGCACGTTGGTTAATAGCCAGATCGGTGTGCAATATGGCTGAAAGAAATAATAACGAGTTTGAAGGGAAGCAGAAAAACATACAGATATTGTATGAAAAATTTGTCATTTTAAATAGGGATTTACTGAACTTCGGTGTCAGTATTGAAGAGTTAAAAGAAATATGCTTCAAACGCAGAAAAACAGTTCACACTGTCCAAGGCTCCCAGAAAAACGCACAACATTCAAGTTTCATTGTAGCAGTCACAGTTGTTTGTGCTGTTTTAATCAGTATTTTACTGAAAATAATATTTGATTCTATAATAAAGAACACTCTCGGTACTCGATGTCTGTTACCGAACAACTACTTTATTTGGGAAGCAACAAGACCTGAGACGAATTGCAGTATGTGTGAGGATGTCAATAGTGTCCTGGTGTTTGGAAACGTTACTCGGGATGAATTTAGTAATTATGCATATTCCTCACGACCGATGTTAGTGAAGGGTGCAGCATTGCATTGGCCAGCAATGAAAACATTTACATATCACTTTTTAAAAGAAATTTATCAGAATGTTGAAGGTGCATATGAAAGTATTGAAGAAGAGTGTCAAATTTTAACATTCAAAACGGAGTTCAGATCATTGGAAGATGTATTTGCTATGCCAGAATCAAGGGTTCTGCTGGAAGAAGGTGAAAAGCCATGGTATGTTGGGTGGTAAGTATTGAAATTACAAAGAAAATACTTTGGATCATGTAGCAATAAGTTTCCTTGCAATTTCTGTAATCGGAAATGTTGAAGGTTTTGTGAGGAAGAAGTTCTGAGTTATGCATGCAGAAGTTACAGTATAGTATATATTGTGGATTTTATTTTCAGGAGTAATTGTCATCCAGATGTACTGGCTATAATGAGAGAGCATTATACTATACCACATTTTTTGCCAGAAGATGCAGAACATGCCCATATGGATTACATCTTTATTGGTTACCAGCAAGGGGCAGTGATGCATGTGAGTTAAATTGTTAAACCACTTTCTGGAAGGAAAACGGTCTTATGGTTCATTCTATGTCCGTTTACTGAAGGTTTACTAAATAAGTACTTAAATAATCACAGCATTTTCTTAGTAGCATATAAACCTGGCAATACATTTTTGGTAAATCAAGGTCAGAAGTTAAGGTAATTAATTCAAGGTGACCTAAAGAACCATGAGTGGCATGCTGAATTAAAGCTTCATATAAGAGCTATAAATTGGTACAGAAATTAGCTTCTTGTCCTTATTAGGGCCAGATGTGAAACTTCAAAATTCTGCAGGGCGCTAACATTTGATGTTACCACTCATCAGACCCATAACAGAACCTATTATTAAATATAATTTTGATATAATTGTAAAAGATTGGCTGAGTTAGGCATGTGTTCCACACAGTGCTTACTGCTTCTTTTACCACTTCTCTCAACAAAATGCATTATGCTCTGCAGATTGATTATATAAGTCGGCTTATGTGGCAAGCACAGCTAAGAGGCCATAAGACATGGAAACTTGTACCTCCACCAGATTGTGACCACATTTGTTCAGGAATCAGTTTCAGAGTTGATCCAGGTGACATTGGTAAGTTTAAGTGTAATTACATGTTCTATTTCTATATTTTAAATTCTGAAATTAAAGATAATAGTAATATGATAGCAGTTGTAAAACAAAGTAAAATTGTCTCCTACCACATATATTTTTTTGAAATGTATATAATGGTCATTTCAGCTAAATGAGTTGATAATGTCAGGATATAGTGAATTTAAATTGCACAATATGTAAATTATACCTTTGATCAGGCCTTGACAAATCTGGTCAACAAAGTTTATATGGCAGATGATATCCAATGAAAGCAAACTCCAAGAGGGAACTGCATTTTATTCATTGTAACAAGAATGAATTCTAATGAAATTGTCTATTGAAGTATTTTACCATAACAGCAAAGAAAATGGAGATTTTATATAATTTGTGATTTCTCCTAAAGTTGTTAAGCTTCACAGTGAGGTGTAAAGTGATTTTACAATGTGAGTGGATGATATTTGGAACTGGAGTGATTATCATTGTTATGGTTTTCAGTTAAGGTTGTGCCATTATATTCTTTAAGTATTTGACATTTTGTCATTGTTAAAGTTGTTACCCCAAGAAAGCCAAAATGGGTAAGCGATATGTTAAAGTAATTAAAAGTAATATTTAGTGATATATGTGACAGTACAATTCTTGAGATATCTTTGCATGCATTTGTTTCTTAAAGCACAAAATACTCTACAGATTTTGATGACATTTGGTATTTTCATTCTACTCTAAACACTGGCAGATGAATTTAGTGTTGGTTCATATTAGTCATTTACTAGAGTAGTATTTTTAAGAATCTACAAAACTAGTGAAATATTCAAGTAGCTTACTTGCTATTCTAGTCCTTTATCAAACGTATTGCATTTTACTACCCCCATATAATTTCATTTATGCCTTTATAAAAGTCCTTGATGTTTTGCTGTTACAGTTTCCTTCCTTCTTTTATTTGTTGAAGTTTGACTAGTTTTGTGTTTTAGACTGACATAGCTATACACATTTATTTGGTTGAAATAAAGGGTTCAACATAAAGCTGAGAGATGCCCCACATATTATTGAATCACTGAGGTAACAGTGCTGATAACATTAGGCATTAGGATCATTGTTTTTTGCTGGTTTTCTCAAAGCAGTCAAATTATACGATGTGACTGATAGAAATATAAAAAGAATGTAGCACACTAGGTTGCTTATCTGTTCATGTTTCATTTAGGTACTTTCTTTTACATTGTTATATGCCTGTTACAGTTCTGGTAGACACTCGGCAGTGGTACCATGACACTCACATAGATGCCGGCGAGATGAGCCTGACTGTTAGCTCAGAGTATGGCTAAACTTTATTCAGCATCAGATTTTGCTCATTATTCATCCCAAAGAATTTTCACAGGCACTCTTTGAAACTTTCTCCTGCTTAAAAATAAGTTTTCTTATCTGTTTAAAAGTAATTTTTGTACCAACTGTTTCAAGAATTTGTACAGATTTCTATGATACATTCTTTAAACTCCAGTCTGTAGACATGTCTCTATTCTTTCATTTATCTGAAACATTATTTGAGAGTTTTATAAGAAAATATGTTATTTTGTATGAAATATGTTTTAATTTTACCCTCGCTTGAAAAATGTACTGAAGATTGTTCACATGTATTTTAGGATTGGTCAAGGTATGAAGTTTTCATACACAAATGACAGTCTAAATTTATATTCATGTATAGTCTGCTGTGTTAAGCACAATCCAAAATCCATTCCTAGTCACTGAAGTTACTTTTAAAGTATAGAAATATATTGATGAGCACAAAGTGAAAGTGTTCAATATTTAGTCATGAAATGCACAAATGAAAAATGTTGTCAGCATGGTCAACTCTGAATTTTATGCAAGTGGATTATTCAGCCTTGTAATAAATTATCACAATTTTTCTGACACTTTGGGGGGGGGGGGGGGGGGAAATTTTTT